TTGACATTGGTGCTACAGATGGATGATTATTATTTCCTTTTGGTCTATGTCCCTTTTTATTAGTATGGAATGTCTTCTTTTCCGTTGATCAATTAGGTTTGAAGTTACTTTGTCAGAGAGTGTATTGCTACTCCGCTGTTTTCGGGCCATGCTTGGTAATCTATCTTCCGCCTTATCCTAAGCATATTCGCTTATTTCTGTGTGAGATGAGTCTCTGTAAGCAACAATTGTTGGATCTTCTTTTTAATCCATTTGTCAAACGGTGCTTTTGATGGGGAATTAAGTCCATTAACATTAAGTTAGTACTGATAGGTATGTGGTGATTCCTGCACATTGTTGCTAGTTGTTTGAAGGTTTGATTGTGTGTACTAACTTGATACTCCTACTGTCTTGCTTTTTCTTTCCTGTGGTTTGGTGCTGCCTGCTTTCATGGTTAAGTTGGGTGTCACTTTCTGTGTGCAGATCCTTGCAGAATCTTTTGTAATGGTGGCTTGTGGTCACATATTGTTTTAAGTTTCTGCTTATCATGGAAGACTTTTATTGCTCCATCTATTTTGAATGATAGCTTTGCTGGGTAGAGTATCCTGGGTTGAAGTTATTCATTCAGTGCCCGAAGATCTCACCACGCTCTTCTTGCTTTTATGTTTCTGTTGACAAGTCTGCTGGATTTTGAATGGGTTTACCTTTGTATGTTTACTTGTTTTTTCTCTCTTGCAGCCTTCAATATTCTTTCTTAGTTTCTGACTTGTTGTTTAATGATGATATGTCGTGGAGTAGTTTCTATTTTTGATCTGTCTGATTTGGTGTCCTGGAGGCCTCTTGCATCTGTATGGGAATATCTTCTCTAGATTTGGGAAATTTCGTTATTATTTGTTGAATATATTACGCATTCCCTTCGCTGCACCTCTTCTCTTCTTCTGATGCCCATGATCTCAAGTTTGGTCTTTTGATGGAGGCCGTGAGTTCTTGCATTTTCTTTTCACAGGTCTTGAGTTGTTTTAATAATAGTTCTTCAGTTTTCTTTAATTACATTCATCTTCAAGTTTGAGATTCTGTCTTCTGTTTGTTCTAATTCTGCTGGATTGCCTTCCGTTTTGTTTTGCAGTTGTTGTCGTTCTTTTTTTCTGAGGTTTCCATATCCCTGGCTGTTTCTTCTTATTGTTGTCTATTTTGTCCTGAGTTCATTTATCCATTTATTCATGTTTCTCTCTTTCACTTTGGTGTTTACAGTGCTTCTATGGTTTCCTTTATTCTTCTTTTGCTTTTTTCAAATTCTCTATTTTTGTCTTGGGATTTCTTGAGTGTCTCCTGTACATTTGGTTGACCCTATCCAGTATCATCTCTATAAAAATTCCATTGAGTATGTAGTATGTTTCTTTAAATTACTTTGTAGGCTTCATTGGTCCTTTGGCATAGTTTATCTTCTTTTGTTGGAGTCTGGATCTGAGTTTCTGTTCTCTTCATTCCCTCTGGTTCTGTACTAATTTTTGCTGTGGAACTGGTTTCCTTGTTTTTTCTGTCTTCCTGTCATTGTCCTTGGTGTTGTTACTGTCCCTGTACTGTGGTAATTAAGTATTTTCTAGCTTGTAATAATAACAATGGTAATATTTAGAATGGAAGAGTGAGCTGAGATGGAAAGCAAGAGTTAAAGAAAGGGGAAAACAAATATACAGACAAGAGGGAGAAAGCAGAACAAGGTATCAGACAAGAGAGTTTCAAAGGATAAACAGGGAGTGTTAGTGTACTAATCGACAGTTAAGCTGGTCCGTGCTTCCCAAGCCAATGGGCGCCGGCCACTGGCGGCCCCGGGGCCTCCTCGGTTCTCCGTTTAACGTGAAGTGGAGATTCTCTGGCACTGGCTGGAGATGTGGAGGAGTCAAAGTTATGCCTTTTCTCGGTGATTATGCCTGCAAAGTGTGTCTCCAGCGTCTCTCCAAGATTTCACTATAGGAGGGTCGCTTTCTGCTTCCTACCTCTAGCCATCTTGGAATTCCAGATTTTTTTTTTTCTGAGGTGGAGTCTTGCTAACTTCTTGGAATTGCAGTTCTCCCAATCTCCATCCATTAAGTAGCTAGGATTATAGGTGTGAACCACCACGTTCACCCTCTGGTTTCTTACTAGGAAAATGTGAAGGCTATTTTGAGGTGAAAGATCTTTTTGAACTATAATGATGCTTTATTTTAATAGTATAGTTTTGTTTCCAAAGCCCCTTTGCAATTCTAGAATTTGCTTTTCCTCTTAAGTAGGTTTTAGAAAACTATGGCATGCTTAAAGTAGAACATCTTGAAAATACAGTACAATGTCAAAAGAAAATCACTGGTAATCTATTTAGAGATTATCAAATATTTTCTTCTTTTTAGGCAGGCATTCTACCACTTGAACCATTCCACCAGCCCTTTTTTTTGTTGGGTATTTTCTTTCATTTTTTTGGTTTTTTTGGTGGTATGGGGGTTTGAACTCCGAGCCTACACCTTGAGCAGACGCCAGCCCTTTTTTGTGATTTTTTTTTTATTTTTTTGAGATAGGGTCTTGTGAACTATTTGCCCTTACTGGCTTTGAACTGTGATCCTCCTCATCTCTGCCTCCTGAATGGCCAGGATTATAGGTGTGAACCACTGGCACCCGCCTTTTTTTTTTCTTTTTTCCAGTACTGGAGTTGAATTCAGGGCCTACACCCTGAGCCACTCCACCAGCCTTTCTTTTTTTTTTTTTGTGATGTGTGTTTTCAAGGTACAGTCTCTTGAAGTATTTGCCTGGGCTAGCTTTGAACCACGATCCTCCTGATCTCTGCCTAGGATTAGGATTACAGGTGTGAGCCACTGGTGCCTGGTATCTTTTGTCTTCTTTATGTGTATGTAGTTGAGCTAATTTCTATATGCACAGTTTTATATACTGTTTTTCTGTTATTTTCAAAGTTATTCACAAAAATGGTTAGTGACATGGGAAATGTGAAATGGAAAGAACACAAAATATGAAACAGCATATTTGATGTCCTATTTGTAAAAATGAAAAAGAAGCTGACTAAGACAGTCACAAAGCCCGACTAAGAGAGATACTCGTCAGTCACTGGTAGCCTGTGCCTGTCATCACAGTGATGCATGAAGCTTAAAATAGGAGGTAGTGGTCCAGGTCTGCCTGGGCAAAAAGCAAAACCTTATCTACAGTATAATTACAGCAAAATGACAGTAGAGTGCCTGTCTTACAAACGTGAATCTCTTGAGTTCAAACCTCAGTACTGCCACTCCCTAGCCCCAAAATGGAGATAATACACTAAAGAATTCACAGTGGTGAATTTTGGTTTGTAAGATTACAGACAGCTTAGTTCATTTATACTTTTCTATATTTTCTGTATAGTTTTTCAGTTAGCCAGAATTTCTTTTATAATTTGGAAAAAACTCCAAAATGTCTAATGTCTTATTATTTGGCCCAGGCCAGCTGTGAACCCCTCAATCCTCCTGCCTCACTCAGCCTCCTGAGTGATGGGAGTATAGGTTTGTGCCACCACACCTGGCTCAAAAATGTCTAGTTTTTTAAATCTAAGAAAAAAGTTTCTTTCCTAGTCCCCTTCAGTTATACTTAAATACTTGATTAGTTGCGTTATATCCTTTTTTTTATTTGTATGTAATATTTTTGGTGGTACTGGTGGTTGAATTTAGCCTCACACTTTCTAGACAGGCACTCTACCACTTGAGCCACACCCCCCCATCCCTTTTCCCTTTGGTTGTTTTTGAGATAGGGTAAGACCTGGACCTTGATTCTCCTGTTTATGTTTCCTGCCTTAGCTGAATTGATAGGTACTTGTCACCACTCCCAGCTGTTGGTTGAGACAGGAGTCTCAGTAACTTTTTGCCTTGACTGTCCTCCAACCTTGATCCTCAAGATCGCTGCCTCCTGAGTAGCTGGAGTTACAGGTGTGAATCACTACACCTAGCTCTTTTTTATTTTTTGAGACAGTCTTGCTATGTATCCCAGACTGACCTCAAACCTGCGATCCTTTTGCCTCAGCCTCCTGAGTGTGTTTAGTATTCTTATATGAATGTTTTATTATTTATCAATAATTGTTGTATTCGTTAATGTGTTTTACTACCGTTTATTGTTGATATATTTATCACACCATAATTTAGTCCCTTACTAAACATTTAGGCTATAAGCTTCAACTGTTATAAACAATATTGCAAGGATTATTTTGTCTGCAGCATTCTTTTTTTTTTTGGTGGTATTGGGGTTTGAACTCAGGACCTCATGCTTGCTAGGCAGGCACTCTACCACTTGAGCCACTCCACCAGCTGCAGCATTTTTTTATAGGTGTGAGATACATCTTACCTAGTAGGTTTCTTTTTATTAACTAATTAACTACTAACATTTGCTCTCTTCTCTTTTTGCTAGATTCATGGCTGAAAGGGGCATAAATATTTTGTCTGTTACCGTTTTCTCCTCCCGTTTGAGCTAGGTTTTATTTTGTTTTGGGTAGGTTTTACAGCCACTCTGGATGATGACAAACCTTGGTACTCCATTTTTCCCATTGACAATGAGGATTTGGTGTATGGACGCTGGGAGGACAATATCATTTGGGATGCTCAGGCTATGCCCCGGCTGTTGGAGCCTCCTGTTTTGACACTTGATCCCAATGATGAAAACCTCATTTTGGGTATGTTACTTGCAGAGGCCAGTGTTATTTGTCCATCCTTAACACGTTGATGCTAATGTCAAAGGGCAGGAGAAAATCAGAAAGATTGGAGGTCAAAACTTGAAAATACTAGGAAATAGTTTGAGATAGCAGAGTAGTGACTGTCAGTTTCTAGTGTGTGTGGTGTTCAGAGAACACTCATGTAGGAATGTTGGAAAGTAGCACCTTTAAGATGGTTGTGCATATTATGAAAAAAATTTTTACAATCATCTTGAAAAATTAGAGAAAATAACAAAGTATTTATTGTTCTGTTTACCATAATTTAGAACTCACACTTAAGTGTTTTTGTAGTTTTACATTCTGTTTTAATCCATTCAGTGGAGAATGTCCAATTTTCTCCCAAGTTACATGTTAAATCAGCTCTAATATGTATTCAACATCAAAGATAAACATGGAAATGTTTAGTTCTGTTAGTGAAATGCTAAAAAAAATTGATGGTCAGGCATAAAGTTTCATTAGAGTGAATCATGCACTAGAAGTGGTCTGGGGTGGGGTGAGAGAGATCTAGTTAAAGAACTGCATCTGCCCTTAGAGGCTTTGTAGGTGTGACTGCTGTGACACATTTGTGTCAGTAGGTAGCAGAGAGAAGAGAGGTTATGTTTGGGCTCAGTGTTTTGACCCATGAACATTCGAATGATTAGTAGCCTGACACTTGGAAAAAAAAATTGCAAAGATGTCAGTGGGAAATGTGAATTTTCAGAGATGGCAATTTCAGAGTCAGTTTTGTTTCATTCTCAGAGATTCCTGATGAGAAGGAAGAGGCCACTTCTAATTCCCCTTCCAAGGAAAGTAAGAAAGAATCATCTCTGAAGAAGAGTCGAATTCTCTTAGGGAAAACAGGAGTCATTAAGGAAGAACCACAGCAGGTCTGTGAAGATAAAGGGACTTGGTGTTTAGAAGAGCAAGAAAAGATAATGGAGAAGGATAGTCTGACTAAAGTTTATTTTATTTGATGATCTGTTATTAGAACATGTCTCAGCCAGAAGTGAAAGATCCATGGAATCTCTCTAATGATGAGTATTACTACCCCAAGCAACAGGGTCTTCGTGGTACTTTTGGAGGGAATATTATCCAGGTACAAATAGTATCTTCTCTGGTGGAAGGGGACCTGTTTCTGTTTGTTCTGGTGGAGGATATGTCTAAATTTTGCCTGGGATAAAGTTAGTATTTAATTTTAAATCTTCTGTTTCCTGTTTTAGCACTCAATTCCTGCTGTGGAATTACGGCAGCCCTTCTTTCCCACACACATGGGACCTATCAAACTCCGGCAGTTCCATCGCCCGCCTCTGAAAAAGTACTCTTTTGGGGCACTGTCTCAGCCAGGTCCCCACTCAGTCCAGCCTTTGCTAAAGCACATCAAAAAGAAGGCTAAGGTATAATTGAACCATGGTTAGAAAAAAGTTACAGAGAATTGGGGTACAGACTGGGGAAATGTACTGGCTATTAGATTCTATTAGGGAATTATTTCTCAGATTTGATAGAAGACTATTTTGGTTATTTAGAAGAATGTCCTTATTCTTAGAAGATGCATATGAAAGTAAAGTTGATGACTGCAACTTTGAAAAGTGTTTTGTTGAAATCTATAGAAAGATAATTATAGATAAATATGAGCAAATATAAACAGTTATATTTAGGTAGTGGGATAATAGGTGTTCTTTCTGTTTCACTAGTACATTGAATAATTTTCATAATGAAATTGAAAAATAGCAAGATTAAATATTTTTGGGTATTTGTCTTATATTGACATCAGCATGCGTAGTTATTGTCCTGTCAGAAGTTGGATTTTATTTTCTTTGTTCTTTGTAGATGAGAGAACAAGAGAGGCAAGCTTCAGGTGGTGGAGAGATGTTTTTTATGCGCACACCTCAGGACCTCACAGGCAAAGATGGAGATCTTATTCTTGCAGAATACAGTGAGGAAAATGGACCCTTAATGATGCAAGTTGGCATGGCAACCAAGATAAAAAACTACTACAAACGGGTGAGTTAGTCTCTGCTCAAAAAACTTTTGATATTAATATAGCTATACTTACATATCTAGTAATAATCTATGAACACGTATTTTGTGTTTTCATACTCTCTTTTTTGGGAGAAAAGTGGTGTCTTTTTCTAGTTAATATTAATTAGTGCCATGCTTATGGAATATTACACATAGGCTTATAGATTGTATTTTGTGATTTTAATTGAGTTTGCTATGTTTCTTGTAGAAACCTGGAAAAGATCCTGGAGCCCCAGATTGTAAATATGGGGAAACTGTTTACTGCCATACATCTCCTTTCCTGGGCTCTCTCCACCCTGGCCAATTACTACAGGTAACAAATTCTTCTCTGTCTTTATTCTTTTCTAAAGAAATTGAGAGATGAAAAGCTAGTTTGTCCAGAAAGAACTAATTCTAGTTGATTGAGGTACTATTCATTAATCAAGTAATGGGAAGAAATTCCCAAATTTTTTTTCATTTTTTTTTTGAGGCGTTGGAGGGGAGAGCTGTACTGGGGCTTGATCTCAAGGCCTCGTGCTTGCTAGGCAGGTGCTGGGACCACAGGCACGCGCCACCACACCTGGCTTATTTGTTGAGATGGGAGTTTACTAACTTTTTGCCTGGACTGGCCTCAAACTAATCCTTCCAAGCTCTACCTCCCAAGTAGCTGAGATTACAGATGTGAGCTACTGGCCTCTAATTGTATTATTTTTTGGTTAAATATAAAATAGTTTTTTGAAAATACACAGTGGTAAGCTCAGTGATACCTGGATGGCATAGGGTAGTCAATCTAGGGTTAATAATGCAGCATTGTTTATGAAGGTTTTAAATCCTGCATGTGAAACTTTGATTTATTTTGGGGCTGGAGATGTAGCTCAGTGGTAGAGTGCTTGCCTAGTACATGTAAGGTTCTGGGTTCATTCTCCAGCACTGCAAAAAAAATAATTGGTACATTTTTTATCATAATTAGTTGTGTTCATTATAAGTATTGGACCACACTTGAATTGTGCAGTCCTGCTATAGCGAAATAATTCTTTTTCTTCTTTGTTCTGATGGGTATAGAAAGTCCTCTGGTAAAAGCTTTTTCAGATACAAGGCAAAGTATAGAGGCTCACAGTGGTGTGAGAAAATCTCTAGCACCATCTTCCCTGTTTTTCACCTCCATTTCTCTTGGCAGTCTTAACCATTTGTCTTGTACCTAGTTTATCCCACTTTTTACTACTGTTTATTCTCCTAAAGCATCTTCAGAGTCCACTTTCTCTTCGTTCTTTACATCTCTATTCTGTGTCCCACTAGTCTTTTTTTTTTTTTCTTTTCGATTGTATGTGTGCACATTGTGCATGCATGTATGTATATGGTACTGGGATTGAATTTAGGACCTTGTTTATGCATGCGAAGGATATGCTCTTACCACTGAAATACATCCCTAACCCCTCCTATCAAGTTTGAGGATTGTCCCCCTACTATTCTTGATATTTCTCTGCTAGAGGAGAGCCATTCCCCCAGCCCTTTCTCGTTGTGGTTTTTTTGTTTGGTTTTTTTTTTTTTTTTTTTGAGAGGGTCTCATGAACTATTTGCCTGGGGCTGGCTTTGAACCTTGATCTTCTTGATCTCTGCCTCCTGAGTAGCTAGGATTACAAGATTCAGCCATCATGCCCGGTGAGAAGTTCATTTAATTTTTTTCCTTGTTGAGATTCTGAAATAATAGTGGCTAAAAAAAAAAGAATCTAATCTTATTTGATATTCCATATGATAATTTATTTTATTGGATAGATCTTAAATCACCTAATGAAGATGGAGAGCAACAAGCTTGATTTTCCTTTCTCATTAGTTTATTGGATTTCCTAAATGTTCTCTCTATATAATTTTTATATTTTTACATTTGTTAGGCATTTGAAAACAACCTTTTTCGGGCTCCAATTTATCTTCATAAGATGCCAGAAACTGACTTCCTGATCATTCGGACAAGACAAGGTTACTATATTCGGGAATTGGTAGATATTTTTGTGGTTGGCCAGCAGTGCCCATTGTTTGAAGTTCCTGGGCCCAACTCCAAAAGGGCCAATACACATATTCGAGACTTTCTACAGGTAAGAATGGAATATCATTAGGACGAGGGTGCAGGTTGCACATGAAAAGTGTGTGGATTTTGGGGAACATTGGGAAGGTAAAAACATATCAGAGCTTAGTAGAAGTGCAAGGGACTTCGGTAAAGACTTCTGTCCTTTACTCACTAACATACGTTTGGTTTGTTGGACAGGTTTTTATTTACCGACTCTTTTGGAAGAGTAAAGATCGGCCACGACGAATTCGGATGGAAGATATAAAAAAAGCCTTTCCTTCCCATTCAGAAAGCAGCATCAGGAAGAGGCTAAAGCTCTGTGCTGACTTCAAACGCACAGGTTGTCAGTTTGACTAGTTATTTGTCTGTAATTCTCTCAAAAGAGTTATGGATGGTTTTCATTTTAAAGGATAAGCATACAACTAATAAAATAAAAATTGACAGCCATCAAAAGGAGAAGATAGCCAGGTGCCAGTGGCTGACGCTTGTAATCCCAGTTTCTTAGAAGGCAGAGATCAGGAGGATTGCAGTTCGAAGCCAGCCCTGGGCAAATAGTTTAGGAGATCCTATCTTGAAAATACCCAACACAAAAACAGGGCTGGCAGAATGGTTCAAGTGGTAGAACGCTTGTCTAGTAAGTGTGAGGCCTGGAGTTCAATCCCTAATACCACAAAAAATAAAAGAAGATAGTTGGCGGAGTGGCTCAAGTGGTAGAGTGCCAGCATAGCAAGCATGAGACCCTGAGTTCAGGTCCCAGTACTGCCAAAAAAAAAAAAGGTAACAAATCCTATAAAACTGTGGTGACTTTAATTGCTTTTTTGATTGTTGGTTGCTAAGAAGTTCTGTGTTACTGTTGTGGATGTCTTATGTGAGATTTAGGAGACCTAGCAGCAGGGATTTTCTTGAACAGACATTCTAAGTGTAGCTAGTTAGGCCTGTTAACCACCTAGGGCATTAACTGGTTCAGTGTGAGTTTGCTGTCCTATTACTGTCGATGAGTATCAGTTCTTCAGAATTCAGAACAGTCTCTATATCTTTTTCAGGGATGGACTCAAACTGGTGGGTGCTGAAGTCTGATTTTCGTTTACCAACGGAAGAGGAGATCAGAGCTATGGTATCCCCAGAGCAGTGCTGTGCTTATTATAGCATGATAGCTGCAGAGCAGCGACTGAAGGTGAGTACCTTCTTCTTAGGTACTGCTTATGCCTATGGTTCTTTTTTAGAGATGGAGAAGACTCTTTCTCAGGCTTACAGATAATGGTTACTAGATTTTTACTTACAAATAAAAAATTCAAACTGTATGAGGTACTTCATGTTTATATCAATTCTGGGGATGACTACAGTGTAGCTTAATATCAGTGTGAAGGCTCAGTGAAGTATATTGTTTTGATTTGAAAACGGTTGCCATCTATTTGAGTGGTAACTCTAATCTTTGCAAGTAGAGACAGTGTTTGTCAGCCTCCCAGGTGGGCATGGATGATGATGGAGGCTTGATACATGGTTTAGAGAAGCACAGTATTCTTATAAGACCAAAGTAGAAAATACGGGGAACCTCAACTTGGTGAGACAGGACAGCTCTGTCCCACTGAGTTAGTAAGCCTCTCAGTTTATCTTTTATTTTACTTTTACTTATTTTTTATTTGTTTAGTTTTTTAATGGGCCTTAACTATTCATGTATCAGCTAGTAAGTTCTGGGATTCAACTCAGGGCCTTGCACACTTCTGTTAAGTACTCTAAGACTCAGCTATATCTCCAGCTCAGTAAGTTCCTAGGAATGTACCATATCTTTTAATAGTCTAAGGTCATAGGTACATTTATGACTTTTCTACTCTCAGTGCAAAATATGCTTTGATATTCTGTACTTGGTATTCAGTAAAACTTGTGCTTCATGTTTTTCAGTTGACTTACTTATGCATGGAATTGTCCTTTTCCAGGATGCTGGCTATGGGGAAAAGTCTTTTTTTGCTCCAGAAGAAGAAAATGAAGAAGATTTCCAGATGAAGATTGATGATGAAGTAAGGCTTTACGCTGTTTTTTTTTTTTTTTTGAGACAGGGTTTTACTGTGTAGCCCATGCTGGTCAAGAGTGCAAAATCCTCCTGCCTCTGTCTCCGAAGTTCTGGGATTATAGGCATACACCATCATGTTAAGTATATTTCACTCATCCTTTTTAAAGAAATAGCTTGAGATAAAATTTACATATAATAGGATGCATGTATTTGTAATATACTGTTCTATGTGATTTGACGTGTGTTTATACCGATGAAATGCCTACTGCAAAATGAGTGCATATGTCATTCCCCCAATTTTTTTTGTGGCAATACTGGAGTTTGAACTCAGAGCCTCACACTTAAGCTAGGTATGCATTCTACCACTTGATACAATCCAGATTGTATCATTTGATGCATGCTTTGATAATCAATTTCATATTGTTTTCCTTTTTTTCTTCAGTGTTGGGGAGCACAACATCCCCAGACTATTTCTACTTTTGTTATGTGTGCTTTAAGGTGTCATATCCAAAAAAATCATTAGTAAATCCAATGTCATGAAGCTTTACCCCTGTATTTTCTTCTAAGAGTATTATAGTTTTAACACTTACATGTCCGCCTTTGATCTGTTTTGAATTAATTTATGTATATGTCATGAAGTGTAAGGGTCTAACTATATTATTTTACTTGAATGTGGATATCCAGTTTTTTTTGGTTTTTTTGCGGCAGTGGGGTTTGAACTTGGGGCCTTAAACTTGCTAGGCAAGTGCTGTACCACTTGAGCTACTCCCCCAGCATCATTTGGTGAAAATATTCATCCAGGTTATTATGTATATTGGTAACTTGTTTCTCTTGTGGTATAGTATGGACTATCAATTTCTTTAATCACTTTTGAGGAACCCTTTAGTTCCCAGTTTTTGGCTATTATAAATAAATCTATTTCATACTTTGTTTTTACACGGGTAAATTCTTAAAAGTGAAGTCCTGAGTCATATGGTAATTCTATGTTTATCCTTTTGAGAAACTATCAGACTGTTTTTCTACAAAGGCCACACCATTTTATATTGGTAAGAACAATGTAGGAAGGATTCAATTTTTCTACATTGTCACCAACATTTATTGTTTCCCTTTGTAACAAAAATAGCCCTGGAATATATGAAGTAGTCTCTCATCTGGTTTTAATTTGCAATTTTGTAAGCAGGTGCAATGTGTGTGTCTGTAGTCCCAGCTACTCAGGAGGCTGAAGCAGGAGGATTGTTTGAGGCCATACTAGGTAATATAGCAAGACCTTAAAGAACAGAGAAGAAAAAGAATTTTTGTGTTTTGGCAGTACTGGAGTTTGAACTCAGGGCCTCACAGTTGCTAGGCAGGCACTTTACCACTTGAGCCACTCCACCAACCACAGAACCTCATTTTTTTTAATGAAGTACTTAACATGATTGGCAAAGTTACTGATGATTTGAGTCTTACATATAACACTGACCTTTAATCACCTATTTTCTAAGCTCCAAACACAGTGAAGTTTATTCAGTTTCCTCATTTTTTTCTCTTGACTTAAACAGAGATTTTCAACTGTTAATTCCCTCTGCCTGGAATTTTTTGTTTTGCCACTCCTCTAAATTTTTTGTAAATTGTATTGTCTTAGAAGCTTTCCCTTACTTTTGATCTCAATATTCAATCTGAGTTCAGATTGGATGATCATTCTTCCCTTTTTTTTATTATATATATGTGTGTATGTATTATATACATATACATACACACATATAAGTTTACATTTTTGTATGTTTGGTTTTGGCAATATTGGGTTTAAACTCAGGGCTGCACACTTGTTAGGTCAGTACTCTACCACTTGAGCCACTCTGCCAGCCAATATTTTTGTTTTTTGAGACAGGATCTCTCTGTGTAGCCCAGGCTGGCCTTATACTGATAATCCTGCCTCTGTCTCCAGAATGCTGGGATTATAGGCATGCCCCACTATACTTGGCTATCCTTCTCTCCTTTGTATACATAACTGCACCTCTTTTTTGTTTGTTTTTGTCTTTTGAGACAGTGCCTCACAACATAATCCAGGCTGGCCTTGAACTCAGTATGTAGCCCAAGGTGGCTTCAAACCTTTGATCCTCTTGCCTCTGCTTCCCTAGTGCTGGGGTTATAAGCATGTGGCACCACACCTGGTTATCTTTTACTTTATTATCATGGTACGGATGATGATCACTGAACTTGGTTGGCAATTTATTTTTCCCTTAGTGACGTGAGGTCTGTGAGGAAGTACTACCTGTTGTGGTAGATACTCAATAAATACTTGGTAAATAAGTGAATGACTGTAAAAAGAAGCAGAAAATGAGATCAGAAGAGAGGGTAGATGTTTAAAGAGATATGTTTAATCTGATTGAAACATTACACATTGTGTATGTGTCTGTATGCATATGTATGTAAACATTGCATGGTACTCATTATAAGTGCCATTTTTATGTATTAAAAGAACAATTTTTATGTATCAGTAGCATTGTATTCCATTTTGAGATAAGAATGAAAGATGAGTGGATATCTGAGGATTTAGTTTAATTATGTTAATTAGCCTTCAAGGTTGAATCTGTTTTCTCTTTTTTTTTTGGTGGTACTGGCATTTGAACTCAGTGCCTCATGCTTGCTAAGCAGGCTCTCTCCTGCTTGAGCCACTCTGCCAGCCCTCAAGGTTGAATCTTGGATAGCAAATTGACCATCATCTGTCTAATTATGTATACTCTTGACTGGTTTGTGTGGGGAAGCACATCTTAATTCTCTCTTCTGTGGAGTAGATAAATATCTTTTGACCAAGCCAGTGGCAAGGATAGAAAGGACTTTGGTTTAGTGCTGCTAGGGCTGGGGACAATGATTTACAAATGAATACATCTATTCTGAGTAATGTAGGTCATTCTAAAGAAGCCATTTGAACAATTGGACAGTCAAATGCAGTCATTAGTCTTAACTGAGCATCATGAGGGTTGGGGGTGTCACTACTTCACAGTCAGTGAAGCCCAAGGGATGTGAGACTGAAGGATACCACTATTTTCATATTCATTACCCTAATTGGGCTCTTGACCTTTTTAATACCATGATTTAAGTACCATAGGAAAGAACAGAGCTTGAGTACTGGGCAACCATAATTAATCACTGACTTTTGTTGGACCATCTAAAGAGCATGAGATTCTTCATTGTAATTTTTCTGTCCTCCTAGGTAGTGGCTAAGCATAGAACAAGCGTTTTTTCATAGCACTGAGAATCTTTCTGTACCTCAGGTTCGCACTGCCCCTTGGAACACCACAAGAGCTTTCATAGCTGCCATGAAGGGCAAATGTCTCCTGGAGGTGACTGGGGTTGCAGATCCAACAGGCTGTGGTGAAGGATTCTCCTATGTGAAGATTCCAAACAAACCAACCCAGCAAAAGGTGAGAATGTCTGAATTTCTAGAAGGACAAAAATCAAAGGAGGAAGAAGTGAGAATCGAGGAGTGGCGGTGAATGGAGTGGAGGGCCTGGAAAGTGGTTGGGATGGCAGAGTGACATAGATGCCTACTATAAGGAGTTCAAGTTCTTAGGATTGTCATTTATTTTTGTTTGAGGCAGGATGATAAGGAACCTCAGCCAGTGAAGAAGACAGTAACAGGAACAGATGCAGACCTTCGTCGCCTTTCTTTGAAAAATGCCAAGCAACTTTTGCGAAAATTCGGTGTGCCTGAGGAAGAGGTTGGTGTAGAAGAGGAAATTTTAGGAATTCCTAGAGGCTATGTATATAGAGCGAAAGTATAAGAGCCATATGAAAAGAACTCACACCTGTAATCTTAGCTGCATGGGAGGCAGAGGTCAGGAGGATCCAACTTTGAAACCAGCCTAGGCAAATAGTTAAGACCCTATCATTCAAAAATACCCAATACAAAAAATGGCTGGTAGAGTGACTCAAGCAGTAAAGTGCCTGCCTAGCAAGCATGAAGCCCTGAGTTCAACCCTTAGTTCTGCCCCCCAAAAAATATCAAATGTCTGGAGAACTTTGTGCTGCAGACTATAGTAGATACTGGATAATTTTTCAGGGTTAGTTTTCCTAAGGTTTTGCTTTGGGATTTTTTTTTTTAAGTCTACCTAATCATGACTTTGGTTTGTTCTTTGAAATCTTCAAATGATTTGTGTGTGTGTGTGTGTGTGTGTGTGTGTGTGTGTGTGTATGTGTGTATGTGTGTTTGTTTCATAGATTAAAAAGTTGTCCCGCTGGGAAGTTATTGACGTGGTACGCACAATGTCAACAGAACAGGCCCGTTCTGGAGAGGGGCCCATGAGTAAATTTGCCCGGGGTTCGAGGTTTTCTGTGGCTGAGCATCAAGAGCGTTACAAAGAGGAATGTCAACGCATCTTTGACTTACAGAACAAGTATGTTTTACTGCTGCAGAAAGCTCAAGCTGGAAAGGGGAAGGATCCCAGATGTATTTTGTTTTTGTGGTGCTGAGGATCAAACTAAGGGCCTTGTGCATGATAGGCAAGTGCTCTATCACTGAACTATATCTGCATCCCCTAGATACTGTTTTATAATGAAGAGGAGGTTACCTAAAATGTGACTAGGTGGTCAGGTATCAACTTAATAGGTCAGTGTCTGAAATACTGCTACTAGAGTACCTGCTCCTTTCAAAGGAACTTGAATATCAAGAGGTGATAGGCTTGATCTTTAGGTTCTGTGGCAGCTCTTAGGGCCTACTAGGGCTGGGTTTGGCAGCTTTAACAAAGATAACAGGTAACAGGGTTTTTTCTTAAGACTTAGTTGTGAGAGAATGACCTGTGACACACCTATAATCCCAGCACTCAGGAGGTTGAGGCAGAAGGAGTGAGAGAGCTGAAGGCCAGCCTGGATTATATAGCAAAACCTTGTCTCAAAAAACAACAAAAAATAGCCTGTGTGCTGTGATTTACTTCTCAGCTTTTCTTCAGGAATTCTGAAGCAATTACAATTTTTAAAACTTGGCCTTATTGACTAAATGTCTAGGAAAACTTTGTAAAGCTTTTTCTGTTAAGGGTTCCATGTCTTAGTGAATTCTGTGTATGCCTTTTTAAGGTTGATTTCTCGGTATTCTTTAGCTCTTTATACATTTTTGTATTTCCTCTGGTCTTAATGTTTTTTTGTTTTTCTTTGTAGGGTTTTATCATCAACTGAAGTCTTATCAACTGACACAGACAGCAGCTCAGCTGAAGACAGTGATTTTGAAGAAATGGGAAAGAATATTGAGAACATGTTGCAGAATAAGAAAACCAGCTCCCAGCTGTCACGTGAACGGGAGGAGCAGGAGCGGAAGGAACTACAGCGGATGCTACTGGGTGAGGGTAGTGACTTCACAGACAGACAAGAAAGAGAAGGATGAAAAAAGGAGCATAAATAACTGCAGAGTATAACTGAGGCAAAGCTGGAGGCAGAAAAAGGCAATGAGTATATCTACAGGCAGAAAAAAGCCTGTAGATGAGGTAGAAAGATTTTTGCAAACTGGACTCTAGGTTTGTCTGTGGGGGACAAATTGAAGAGATGGTGCAAATTCATTACTGCCTTTGTGTGTATCAGGTACCTGGCCAAGCTGGGGCTATCAATGCTGTAACTTTAAGTGAGCTTTCTGGGCATTCATCTTAAAGGGTAACAGTTTTTAATACAAAATCTGTAGATGAGTTTGGGAGGTTTCCTTTGAACCCTCTGAAATAACATGTAGAATTCCATGCAAATGTGCATTTTCTGAGAAGATTTCATGGCTTTCAGAAGATTTTCAGAGTAGTCTTAGATCCTAAAAGTTAACAATCACCAACCAAAAATGACAAAAGTTGATGGTGAGGATGATGGATAATGGCTATAATTGGGTTTGTCCTGTAGGTATTGGGAGATAAAAAGGGGGAGAACTCAATGTCTCCTTAAGATAGCATTGTGACTTACTAGAAAGATACTGGTTCCATTGATTTCAGAGAAAGAAGTAGGTTTAGAAAGAGAACACTTCAAAGTATAGATGCCAAGCAGGCAGTTGGAAACTTGGATGTAGATATGGAGAGGATAAAGGCTAAAGATGAACATTTGAATGATTATTCTCATTCATACTAGTTTAACCTTTGTTTCTCCCTCTCTGTAAAAGTTTTATGTAATTTCACTGTTCTGACTATTTTGTAAAGATGTGATATAGCCCTTCAACCAATGCTAAGTGTGGTCTTGGACCACAGTATCTACATCACATGGAAATCTGTTAGAAAGGCAGAATTTTGAGCCTCTCTCCAAACCTACTGAATTATAATCTACTATTTAAAAGATCTTTAGGTGATTCCTATTCATATTAAAGTTTGAGAAGCATACACTAGGCCTTAAAACTCTGGACTTATTTCTGTGGTGTAATTTTTTCCTCCTGACTGCTTGTTTGGGTGTTTTCATCAACCACTTCCTGCTTGAACTTTCCTATTGCCCTTTTTTCAGGGGATTCGCAATATACCTACCAATCTGCTATCTCCTATAGCAAACCCATAGTTCTTTGAGATATTTTTAGAAGTTTTTTGTACTTACAGAAACAGAAATTGGCAATAGTAAAATGAAGTTAGAAAAAGACAAACCAGTCTAATCTTGGGGTTGGTGGTAACTTTTGTTTTCTGTAGAAACATAAGTTTTGTAACATGTTGAGTTTTTGCACTCAACCCCAAGAAAATGGCTGCCATTTGGATGGTAGGGGGAATGTTTGGAAATCTTTTTCTACCTTGCAGCAGCAGGCTCAGCGGCATCAGGAAACAATCACAGAGATGATGACACAGCTTCTGTGACTAGCCTTAACTCCTCTGCCACTGGTCGCTGTCTCAAGATATATCGCACATTTCAAGATGAAGAGGGGAAAGAATACGTTCGCTGTGAGACTGTCCGAAAGCCAGCTGTCATGGACGCCTATGTGCGCATTCGGACCACAAAAGATGAGGAATTCATGTGAGTTTGATTGACCACGTTCAGGTGTGATAGAATAATAATGGTGGGGATGAATTGTGTGCTTTAGTGATAGGATTCTGCACAGTTGTCCTTGAAAGTCTGTCGCAATGGGGAACCATCTTGCCTTTTAGATCTTTGTGTTTGAACAGAGCCAAATCACCAGGAAAATTCCATAGTCCACCAGAGTTCTTGGCATTGTGGTTGTGGATTTGCAAAAATCTTAGGGAAATGCATGTCTGTAATTCCCGCACTTGAGAAACAGGAGGAGCATGAGTTCCAGGCCAGCCTGAGCTACATAGACTCTTGTCTCAAAAAAAACTAAAACAAAACAAAACAAAAATCTTACAGATTATTCAGGACTTAACTCTCTCTCTGAAGATGAGGGCTAACTAGCAAAGGAGATGAGAATAACAGGTAGTTCTTTTATCTCAGCTTGGATGAATTACTTTAGTTTTGTGATGTTAGCTGTCAGGATAATCTTTTTGGTTGAGGTTTGCTTATGGTCCTGTGATTTCCCCCCCTCCCTGTTGTTCAGTCGAAAATTTGCCCTTTTTGATGAACAGCATCGAGAAGAGATGCGAAAAGAACGGCGGAGGATTCAGGAGCAGCTGAGGAGGCTTAAACGCAACCAGGAAAAGGAGAAGCTTAAGGGTCCTCCTGAGAAGAAGCCCAAAAAAATGAAGGAGCGTCCTGACCTAAAGGTAATAGCTTGGTGTAGTGGCAAATGCCTACAATTCTGGCACTCAAAGCTGAAGCAGAAGGATTGCTAGTTCAATGCCAGCCTGGGCCACATAGTGACAACTGGTCTCAAAAAAAAGTATATTGTGGCATGATTACAACTAACAAAGCAAAGGAAGAAAGCATACTCTTTCTTTTAACTTTTGTCATCCTCCCTTACTGAAGATAAGAGAAGTTTTGTGGAAAACTAGTTTGAATTGATTTCTCTATTTGGGTATTACTGGGGCTAGTGTGAGTGGTACTGACAAAGTCACACTCAACTAGTGCCATTGTTTATTGGGTGTAATTCATCTTACATATTTTCTAGTAATTGAAATAGATTTGATGCAGTTTTTACACAATCATATACTTTTGGTGCTGGGGATGAAACCTAGGGCCTCATGTGTGCTAGGCAAGTGCTCTATTACAGATCTATAGCCCCAGCCCCAGACTCTCTTAAAATTTTCTTTTCTTTTTTTTTTTTTTTTTGGGCGGTATTGGGGTTCGAACTCAAGGCTTCATGCTTGCTAGGCAGGTGCTCTGCCACTCAACCATTCTGTCAACCCTGTACTGGATTTTTAAAAATAGGGGGTCTCAAACTATTTGCCTCAGGTTGGTTTTAAACCATGATCCTCCTGATCTCTGCCTCTTGAGTAGCCAGGATCACAGGCATGAGCACCCAGTTAGTGGCTTCTATTGATAGGTACATAGCAATTCTATTAGAGCAAAAGTTCTGGAGCTGTCCTGTATATCTCCTGCCTCACCCCCACATACATACATGCACATATCTGCTTGTGTATGACATGTTTGAACCTGCTTATCTCTTTAACATGTTGGTATTTTTCCTTTTGCAGCTGAAATGTGGAGCATGTGGTGCCATTGGACACATGAGAACAAACAAATTCTGCCCTCTTTATTATCAAACAAATGCCCCACCTTCTAACCCTGTTGCCATGACAGAGGAGCAAGAAGAAGAGTTAGAAAAGACAGTCATTCCTAATGATAATGAAGAACTTATCAAGGTTGAAGGGACCAAGATTGTCTTGGGGAAACAGCTAATTGAGAGGTAAGTGATAGCAAAAAGGGAGTGCTGTGAGAGAGATCCATTGGAGGTTGATGATGGTGAGTGGCAAGGGTGAATGTGGTGTGTTCTTTGAGGTGGAAATGATGGTATAGGAACTTGGATGGATTTTCCTCAGTATTTGTTGCCAGTAATAAAAATTACAGCCCTCATGAGGCACACTGCTTTCCCTTGGTCATTGTTACCTAACTTTTCTGAATTTTAGTTTCCATATTTTCAAAATACAACCATCCTTACTAGAGTTGTTTTTTGGTATTGGAGATTGAACCCCCCCCAGGGCCTTGTGGTGGTAGCAGGTTCTCTGCCACTGAGCTACATCCCCAACTCCCCCCTATACCTTTTTTTTTCCAGAATTCGGGACAGGACCTTAATATGTTTCCCAGGCTGACCTTGAAGATCACAAGGTCTTCTTGCCTCAGCTTCCTGAGTAGGTGGGATTACTGGCATGGGACGCTGCCTAGAACCAGGATAGTGATGTTAAAATGAGATTATAAAGCATACAGTACAGTGCCTGGTGTAGTAAATGGCAGAAGATGTTAATTCTCTCTTCATATTCTACTTCCAGGTACTTGTAGCATTTGCAAGGGCCCTAATCTCAGAGTATTCTGAAAATAAACCATCTAAAAGATTGGGGAGACATATAAACTATGTTTTTACCTTAAAGCATTTAATAGATGATAAAATTGAGGCATTTAAAAAATTTCCCCTAACTTTTTAGTTCGACAATTGCAAACCTGTGGAATACTTCAAAGTGTATAATATACTCTTCACTAGTTCACATTTGTTACATTTGCTTCATCTTTATATACCTAAAGTTTTTTTTCTGAACCATTTAGAAGTACATTATAGGCATTGTGGTATTTCATTCCTAATTTTTAGCACACATCTCCTAAGAACAGGCATACAACATCACAGTACTCTTTTCATACCTGGGAAAATTAATACTAATTTAGCAATATGTAATACTTGGATCTTACTGAAATTTACCCAGTTGTCTCAGTGTCTTTTATTGCTGCCCTCCGCAATTCTGGATCCTCTCCCAGTTCAAACATTAAATATATTTTACATGTACCTAGAACTGTCCTCCCACCTTTTAGGTTTTTCACGACATTGACTTTTCTGAAATTCTCTCATAACTCACTTTCTAGATTTGTCTAATTGTTTTCTATTGATGAGATTCAGAATAATTTTTTTGGCCAGACATTGAATATGTCAGGTTTTCCCACTATTTTTATCACCTTGCCAAAGTAGTGATCCCCAGATACTATAGTAAAGGTATATTTCTCCCTGTTGAAGTGACATGGTGAATACTCCATTCCCTAACAATCTCATTGGTTTTAGCACCCATTGATGATTATTTTCTGATTCAGATATTTGGTGGGGATTGAAAAATGGTGATTTTTCTAATTCTAACATTCCTCTACAGTAGCTGGCATTTTTAAAAATTTTATTTTACTTTTTTCATATTATTGGGGTTTGAACTTAGGGCTGTACACTTGCTAGGCAGCCATTCTATCACTTGAGCTACTCCACTAGCCCAACTGGCATTGTTTTTGGTTAAAGAGTTTCCTCCTCTCCCTTTTCACAAATTACTATGGATTCTGAAATTTTTTCCTTTGTAAATGTAATGTATTAGTATCGTTAATTTAGATGATTAGATTGTGTCTCAAGTTTTACTCCTTTAAGTCAGATCTTGTGTTTTTTGAAATGACCTTACAAATATTTGAAAAAGTAACTGCTCTCTGGCACAAGATGTTACAGGTTCTCCTTGAACTTTGTCTCAGACCTAGAACTGACCATTTCACCAAGTAGCCCAGGTTCCTATTTAGAAACCAAGATCTTACCCTGAGATGTCATTGATTCTAGGCGTTTTAAAAGTGGGCAGAACTAGGAAGTATACATGTATTTTATTTTTGGTTTTAATGATTGTGGTTTTATTTTATAATTAGCACATCATAGTTGTATAGGAGGATACATTGTGGTATCTATATATGTTCTTACAATATATCTTAATTAGGTTTATCCTCTCCATCATTCTCCCTCATCCACCCGCCCGTATACTTCTTTTTTTTTTACTTTTCCTCACTTCTATTTGAAGAATTAAGTTTCCTAGCCCTTTAAGGTAGAATTTTAGAACTGGAAGGATTCTTAAAATTCCATTAGCTAGGAAACTGGGGTGCAATTGTAATTGTGAGTTGCTTTCTTAAAAAACATTATTAATTTGGAGATCCTCTGAGGCCCTACCTGATCTGAGCCTTAAAAGGTGGATGTCTGGCCTTTGGCTTAGCTTTTTCTTCCCCAGGCTCATACTTAGGTACCTTGGACCTTTTCTTTTTGTTGCCATTTTTTCTGGAAACTAGAAATAGGTGCTGTGTACTATGACAGTGTTATTGATTGCAGTGCAGATGAAGTTCGCAGAAAATCTCTCGTCCTCAAGTTCCCTAAACAGCAACTTCCTCCCAAGAAGAAACGGCGGGTAGGAACCACTGTTCACTGTGACTATTTGAATGTGAGTATCTCCATTGCCTCTTTCTGATTAGATGGGTTTTCATTGATTTCCCCAGCCTTCTCCGACATAGCTCTAACTGCCTTAGATTTTCCCTGTGGCCATTTCCCAAGAATTATGCGTACTGTTCATTACACGATTTCTAAAATATACCTTTTTATTTAGAAATGGGGGGCGGGGCTTTTGGTCTAAAACATTCTGATTTCTTTTTTCTCTTTAGAGACCTCATAAGTCCATCCACCGGCGCCGGACAGACCCTATGGTGACACTGTCGTCTATCTTGGAGTCTATTATCAATGACATGAGAGATCTTCCGAATGTGAGTTCATTGCATTGGAGACCTACAATAGGGATGGCAAAGGCCCTTTATTTTACCTATTACTTCAGATACAGGGCAGTAGTATGTAGATACCTGAAGCTCCTAATTCTTTGGGTTGTAGTTTTTTTTGAAAGGGGTAGTAAAGTTTATTAGGAAAGGAATACACTTTTCAATAGACTGAAAGGTCATCTCTAGAGTAAAAATGAGAACTTTCTTCATTGTTTTTCTTTTTTTGGGGGGGACTGGGGTTTGAACTCAGAGCTTTGTGCTTGCAAAATGGATGCTCTACCACTTGAGCAATGCTTCTGATATATTTTGCTCTAGTTATTTTGGAGATGGGGGGGTGTCTCACAAACCGTTTGCCTAGGCTGGCCTCGAACCATGATCCTCCCAGTCTCAGCCTTCAAAGCAGCTAGGATTACAGGTCAGTCAGATGTCATCCATCTAAAAAGATTCCTTTGAGAGTTGATGGTCAGATAGGTAAGATGTGAGAATCTTCAGGAATTGACTCTGGCACGTATTCTTTGCTCACAAATAGTACTTACTTTTGTTTCCACAGACATACCCTTTCCACACTCCAGTCAATGCAAAGGTTGTAAAGGACTACTACAAAATCATCACTCGACCAATGGATCTACAAACACTCCGTGAGAATGTGCGCAAGCGCCTCTATCCGTCTCGGGAAGAGTTCAGGGAGCATTTGGAGCTAATTGTGAAAAATAGTGCAACCTACAATGGTAACAGTCACTTGTTCCTTGACTGCAAAGGTCACCTTTCAGATTCTTACCACTTACTGGTCCTTAATTCAGACCAGATTGGGATGACTGAGAGGACTACAACATAGTAGTGCATTTGTGGGTATGGAAAAACGTGAGGTAGCATATATTTCCTGCCATTTAGTAAGTATTGCTGCTTTTTTATTATCACTATTTAATTCTTATATTTTGGAGAATTTGGAGTCTATGCATTGGAATAGAACAATTGTATAGGGAGGAAGAAGTAAGTAGAATAGACATTCAGTGGGGTTGGAACCTGTGCAGAATATGTGCCTGTGACCATATTTGTTGTGAATCTTTGGCTGCATCTGTAAATTTGTTATAGATCCACTTTGCTCAAAAGCTGGTAAGGCAAAGATGATGAAATTGTTGAGCATCAATTCATGTTAAGTATAAAGATAATAACAAGTACAAACATTAGTAATTGAGTTAGTGCAGATAAGTTATTTAACTTCTCATAGATTCTTCAGTTTTTTTCATCTGTAAACATGGAACAATAGTTGTATCTAGATTTTAAGTCTTTCACAAGCCTGCCCAACGTATTTATCTAATCTTATCTCCAGTAACTGGTTAGCATACCCACTATCAACTCCTGCCACACTCATTGTTACATTTCATTAACTATCCTATGCTGTTTCTTCATGACTTGACTCAGTCTTTTCTCTCAGAAATGCTTTTTTTTTGTTGGTAGGACTGGGATTTGAACTCAGGGCTTCATGCTTGCAAAACAGGTACTCTATTGCTTGAGCCACACGTCTAGTCCAATTTGCTCTGGTTATTTAAGAGATGGAGTCTTGTGAATTGTTGCCCTGGCTGGCCTCAAACCACAGTCTTCTCCATCTCAATCTCCCAAAATAGCTAGGATTACAGGCTTGAGCCACTGGCTCTGGATTCTTTTCTTCCCTTCAGTGTTGTTTCCATTCATATTTCTAGACCAAGTCATGTCGTCTCTTCATAAAGACTTAATCATATATAGACTAAAGTATTCATTTTTTTTAATACTATGGGCTACATAGCACAATTAAATCAGCTTTAAAGCTTTTGCTATGCCTTAATTATATATTGTATATGTGGCCACTTGGTGATCTCCTAGAGAGATTTGTTATTTACGTTTATATTCCCAGGGCTGATGAGAGTGCCAGACATACAGAAGGGAAGAACAAATTTATGTTAGACTCAGTTGTCATTCAGGTTGCAAGGATAATTACTTAAGCAAAAATTAGGTTGTAAGGGAGTTGGGGAGGTAAGATTAGACTTTGCAGATACCAAACTTGAGGTCCCTATAGGTCATTGAAGTGGATATTTTAATAAACAATTAGTAATTTAAAAATTTCTTATAGTCTTATGTTCCCCCCGTCTCTACTTCACTATTTTGTTATCCTCATCACCAAATGCTAATAAATAATAATGGCAGTAGTACCATCAGTGGCATCAGATTTCCTTACTTGCATTATTTTGTTCCTTCCTTTTCCCATCGCTCCCTCCCCCTCCCTCTCTCCCTTCCTTCCTTACTATAGGGTCTTGCCTACAAAGGGTAGGCTGGTCCTGATCTTGTTATGTAGCCCAAGTTGGCCTTGAACTTGGGATTCTTCTACCTCAGCCTCCCAGGAGTCATACCTGACTTATTCTCTTTATTTTCTCATAAGAAATCTTTGAAATGGACACTGTTATCATGATCATTTTCCATTATGTTTTTTTTTGGTGGCCCTCCTGGGGTTTGAACTCAGGGCCTCATGCTTGCTAGACAGGCACTATTAACCACTTGCGCCATTCTGCCAGCCCTTTTTTGTGTTGGGTAGTTTCGAAATAGGGTCTTAAGAACTGTTTGCCTGGGGCTGCTTAGAACCTCGAACTTCCTGCTCTGCCTCCTGAATAGCTAGGATTACAGGTGTGAACCACTGGCGCCCAGCTGTATGTTCTTGAGAAGGTGGTTCTTGCTATGATCCTCAGGCTGGTTGCAAACTTCTGAACTCAAGTGACCCTCCTGCCTCAGCCTCCCAAGTAGCTGCAACTACTCATGCACACCATTCATTGCACTCAGCTTGGGACTGTGGTGTTGAAATAAGTTGACTCAAGGTGGCCATGCAGCTAAAATGTGGCAGAGTGGAAATACTAATCTAGGTATAACTAACTCCACAGTCTGTGCTTTTAAACAATGTTTAATACATTCTTCTCTATACTTTTTTTTTTTGGTTGTACATACATGCCTTATAACACTGGCACTTGTCTTCTGTTAAATTTCTCTACCAGTAGCTTTCCTAATTGCTGGATCTGTTGACTACATTGTTATTGTCCATTTGTTTTTGGTTTTTTTTCTGTTCTGGGGGTTGAACTCAGGACCTCATGCTTGGTTAGGTAGGTAGGTAGGTGCTGTACCACTTGAGCCACACTGCCAGCCCTTTTTTGTGTTGGTTATTTTTGAGATAGAGTCTTGCTTTTTGCCCTGTCCTGCCTGGACTGCAGTGCTCCTATTTGTGCTTCCCATTGACTGAGATGTTGCAAACTTTTTGTCTGGGCTGGCTTTGAATCCAAGAGGCTTCCACTCTTTGCCCCCTGGTTAGCCAGGATTTTAGACTGGAGCCACTGTTTCTAGCCTATTGTCCATTCTTCTTTTTTCTAGTACATGTGAAGAGGTAACTCCTTGGGATTTTGATTTGTATGTCCCTAATGGCACTGAGAATCTTTGCATCTTGTTAGAAAATCTTTTTTTTTTCACTTGTATTTGCATTTGTTTTATGCTTAATTTATTCCCATACCATAAGTTTTGTTTCTTTCATTTCTTCTGGTATTTCTTTCATCTCATTTCTTCTTTGCAATCTCTGGTTTAGAAACATTTTTTTCCTTTTCAGTGAGGATCATCTCAGTGTGGCAGGGAGAGCTCGTGTATAGTTTAATCCGACCATGAGATCTGTTAAGTTCAGTGGCACATTTTGGGTGCTTTGTTCACCTGGATATGTTCAATGACCAGAGAATCTACATCTAAACCCTTAAGTTCAGCATTACTCTCTGCATTTTTAAGCATGTGCAGCAAAATTCACTTTTTTTGGACCACCAACCCTGTGTCAGCCAGACATATCTTTCTTGAATTTTAGTGCTTTAACACTGTTGCCCTTTTCCAGGAGTACTTTGCGTAATCATGTCCTCCTGTGTTTTTCTCATTAGTTGGGGTTTGGCACAGTTGCTCCAGAGGTAGAGCACCTGCCTAGCAAGCATGAGGTTTAAACCCCAGTGCCACCAACAAACAAAAAAAATTTCACCCAGTGTACATCTATTGATATAACTGTACCCTGGCCTCTTATACTCTTGCTTCTAGTTGTTTGCCAGATGTATCCATTTCTCATTGTCTGATTGTCTATTTAGATTAATACTTTTGTCTATTTAGTTGTGCATCCTAGAAATCTTAGTCCTAATTGATTCCATCATCTCTTCTTCTTAGTATCATAGATAACAAAATTGTGTCTTCGTTTCCATTTCCATTGCTACTGTGTTAGTTGAAACCCACGTCATCTCTTTTTTGACTTCTTAAAGCAGCTTTCAAACTTTCCTTCTGTTCGATGTCTTAATTCTTAACATTTTACATGGTGTCTTCCCTTACCACCCCCCAAACTCAAATTTGAAAAATTACTCTCTCAAACTGGGGATATGGCTCAGTGGTGGAACACTTGCCTAGCAAGTATCAGGGCCTGGGTTTAATTCCCAGAAGTGGAAAGGAAAAAAAAAAGACAAGGAAAGTTACTCTCCAGTATAAAATATTTAGCTGTTTTCTATTGTCTATGATATCTTTGGAATGTGATGCCTCCTGTCTTTCCATTTCCTAACTTTGAGACACACACACCCCTCTACCTGTATTTCAGTGGTATCAAACTATTTATGATTCTGGTGTGAAATGTACTTCAGTATGTTTCCATGAATTTGCTTGTTTCTGTGTCTTTGCACACTTTTCCTTCCCTTGTTTACCTGTTGGACTTACCTTCTTCAATGAGTCTGCTTAAATGTGAGTTAGAGCAAGCTTTCTACTCCTTTTTTTTATTTTTTGGTGGGACTAGGGTTTGAACTTAGTGCCTCTCTCTTGCAAAGCAGATGCTCTACCACTTGAGCCATGCCTCCAGTCCATTTAGCTCCGGTTATTTTGGAGATGGGGGTCTTGGCGAACTATTTGCCTGGTCACAGCATGATCCTCTTGGTCTCATCCTCCCAAGTAGGTAGGATCGCAGGTGGGAGCCACCAGCACCTAGCTCTACAACTTAAGAAGCAGATTTGATATAAAACAATTTAGAATACATTCCATATGCCGCCAGTATATTTACACTAATAGTTTGTTTTAAAAAAACTTTATTATGGGAATTATTAGACATATAAGTAGAGTGAAGAGGAAATAAACCTCATGTACTTCTTTACCTAGTTCAACAATTTGTTGGTGCATGGCCAAGCTTGTTTAGTATGTGTTTCCAGATGTATCATTTCATCCATAGATACTTAAAGTGCTTAAACTGTATCCTGCAAATCTAAAAATTTTCTACAGTAGGAACTTGTCTTATTTATTCTTACATTCTCATCATTGAACATGTCTTACACAGCCATTAAATGTTTGCTGAATAAATAACCAAACAAATTCAGAATTAAATAATTAGTTGAGCATAGGCTCTGGAGAACATGAACAGAAATGGACATATGGAGGAAGATAATCTAGCAAAGGATATTGAAAGGAAGTGGTCGGAATTACTGGCTTGATTAAAATGTGTTTTTTGAGTTAGGGTCTCACAATTTAGCCTAGGCTGGCCTCTTACTTCAGTACTCCTGAATACCTGGGAGAACAGATATGTGCCAACCATGACCTGCTCGAAAATGTGTTAATTATCCCTAAGATATAAGCAGGGAGTGTAAGAGATAGATAGGTCTGGATCACGAATTTTCCAAATCTCTTGATAAGGATTTCAGGGAAACTAATCTAGTAGTCTGATTTGTGATGGTGATTCTTTTTAACAAAGGGTTTAGATTAGCCAGAAACGCAAACATCACAAACTACTAGCTCTGCAAACAAAAACTGTAAATACAAATTGTGTCTCCCAAATTGAAAAATTACAAATTATCTATTGATCTCTTCAGCCATTCTTAGTCATTTCCCATCCATAGAATGATTTTCAGTGTATTAAAAGTAGTAGTATTACTAATGTGCATGGATGCAAACTAAATAAGAGTTAAAATTAGTTCATTTGTTCATACCGTGTATTGAAAAATGGAGGTAAGAGTGGTCTACCTGCCTAACCTAGCAGTTAGGCTGGTGCCTGACACTACTAAGTTCTTAAGTACATGTGTTAAAAGAATGGAGAGGTGTTGGCAGCTCTTTGCCTCCTATTTTTAATGGTCCCATCTCTTACTGTTCCTCTCTAGGGCCAAAACACTCATTGACCCAGATCTCTCAATCCATGCTGGATCTCTGTGACGAAAAACTTAAAGAGGTAAGACATTAAGAATGAGAGAAAAGTGGAGGTAGTAGAGTTTAGGAAGTAGGGAATTTAACAGAAGGAAGAGTATATGTGGAAGTGGCAGATCTTTGGTATGTGAGAGCTGGAAGGGACCTTAGAAATTTTATAGGCCAGTCCCTTTTATAGATGGGAAAACTAAATTCATAGAGGAAAATGATTTGCTCTAGGCATCATGACTATTAAATGTAATGTTAAGATTAAGATTCAGAACCTATGTGACTTTTTAGAAAGGACAAAGGAAAATGACTTCACAAGAAATCACCTGTAGCTGAGACTAGTCTGTGTTTTCGTAGGGAGGAATTTTAATATCTTATTTTTATAAGCTACTTGGGCTGGAGATGTGGCTCAAGGAATAGAACACCTGCCTTGCAAGCACAAAGCACTGCATTAAAACCCCAGTACTGCCATTAAAAAAAAAACCATAAAATAAAACAAAATTCATCCATATCCAATTTTCTGGCCTACTTTTTTTTTTTTTTCCTGTGCTAGGGTCTCAACCCAGAGCTTGCCCTTCTAGGCATGCACTCTACTGAGCTAAATCTCCAACCCTTCTATAAATCTATCTTCTTACCAAAAACAATGGTAACACCTTACCAGTTTATAAAAATATAAGCATGATGTTGTTGTTGATACTGGAGTAAATATTTCATATAAAGAATAACTTACCAACAAACATGAAAAGATTCTCAACCTGATTGATTCTTGGGGAAATGAAAATTTGTAAACTACAATTAGATGCCACTTTGTACCCATTTCTAAAAAATTATTTTTTTTAGTGATACTGGGATTTTGAACTCAGGGCCTCTAGGCAAGCTCTACCATTTCAGCTATACCTCCAGCCCTGAAAAGCTAAATTTAAAAAGACTGACAAGACAGTGTTGATGAGAGGATACAGACCAATGAGATCACAAAGGTTTTCTTAGTACAGAGTCTGAAATAAACCTATTGGGTTAGGTCCCCTTATAAAAGAAATACTAATCAGTAGTAACATTCCGTGTTTTTAGTAAGTTTCACCAAAAAAAAAAAAAAAAAAAAAAAAAAAACAGAGCCTGTGTAGCAAGCACGAAGCTCTGAATTCAAACCTCAGTACCCTCCATACCCCCAAAAAAGAAGGAAAAAGCCGCATGAAATTAAAGCCTCATTTGCTGAAGATGTTTTTGTTGTGGGAACTAAGCTATTAATGTCTAAGGATGTATATTTTTGGTGCTAGAGAATAGACTGTAGAACAGCTAAGGAACTTGTTGACAAATCCCTTTTTCACCATTTTTCTAGAATATCATTTATCTAGGCTTTTCCCTGGAACTGATTAGTAAATAATTCAGAATTAAGCTTTTTGGGGCAAAAATCATAGTCAACTAGCTGAACCTTAAATTATATATTGTGGGGGGGGCGGTATTGGTTGGTTGAACTCAGGGCCTTGTGCTTGCTAAGCAGGTGCTCCACTACTTGAGCCACTCCATCAGCCCTTTTTTGTTTGGGTATTTACAAGATAGGGTCTCACAAACTGTTTGCCCAGGCGGGCGGCTTCAAACTGCGATCCTGCTGATCTCTGCCTACTGATTAGCTAGGATTATAGGCATGATCCACAGGCGCTCAGCTAAATTATACTACTTAATGTTTTTTGTAGTACTGGGATAAAATCCACGGCTTAGCCCGTGCTAAGCAAGTGCTGTGCTGAGCTACACTCCCAGCCTTTCTTTTTTTAAATTTTATTTCCTAGTATTTATTTATTTATTTTGGTGTTACTGGGGTTTGAACTCAGGGCTTCCTGCTTGCTAGGCTGGTGCTCTACCACTTGAGCTGTTCCCCCAACTACCTTCAGCCTTTTAAATTACCCTAAACTTTTCTATGCTTTGTTTTATTTCAGAAAGAAGATAAATTGGCTCGTTTAGAGAAAGCTATCAACCCTTTGCTGGATGATGATGACCAAGTGGCATTTTCTTTCATTCTGGACAACATTGTCACTCAGAAAATGATGGCAGTTCCAGATGTAAGTGGTCTTCATGCTAAATATTGTAAGGACAGTACAGAGGAGAGGAAAGAAGTATAGGGTATGCTTGTGTATGCATGTTACAGATTCTGAGTGGTGGTGTATGTCAATAGAAACTGGTATGTAATTTTAAGCAAATATCAACCTTTTTGCTATGTGTATATATATATATTGTCAGTGAAATCAAAGATGCCAGGAGTATTTGGATGGTTCTTGCTTCCTGTCTTGACATTCAGTATTTGAATGCTTCTGAATAGCCCTGGAGAGAAAGGATGCCATCTAATGGGAGACTTTTGATTTAGAGGTACTTATATATAAACAACACTTTGGTAATTGCCCAATGTTTGTTGTCTTTTGTTTCTGTTCGGAATTTTCTTCCTGTGGTGCTGAGGGCTGAATCCAGGGTCTCAAGACCCTAGGCAAGTGCTCTACTACTTGAGCTGTGCCCCCAGCTCATTTTCAATTCATTGTGGCAGGGCCGTCATCTATTGTGTTAACTCTATGGACCATTTTGCTTTAATGATCTTCCTCAGAAATTCAAAACTGAGTTTTCTTTTGGTGTTGTAGTCATATGATCTATATGTATAATGCTACAGAACTTCTGAATGGAACTATGGAATGAAGTTGGTTTTTTGAGTTTTTTTCACTTCTAGAAATCAAGCCCTGGAGTAAGGAATTTTAATTGTGAATGTACAGCAAGGGTTCTAACGCTGTACCCTTAAAGGAATCTATGAACACCTTAAACTATATATACAATTTTGTGTGTGGGGTTTTTTTTTTTGTTTTTTTTTTTCTGGGAAAAGGGTCCATAGTTTTTGTCAGCAGTATTTGACTCCACATAGGTTGGGAGTCACTGGTATAAAGAGAGGTTTCCATTTAATTTCCTATGCTTTCTTTCTACTAGTCTTGGCCATTTCATCACCCAGTTAATAAGAAGTTTGTTCCAGATTATTACAAAGTGATTATCAATCCAATGGATTTAGAGACTATACGTAAGGTGAGTGATTGATCTGAAATTCCCTTTTGTAATTAACGTAGTTTTGTACGTGTATTTGAGCGCCTGGTTCTTTTTATTGTAGAATATCTCCAAGCACAAATACCAGAGTCGAGAGAGCTTTCTAGATGATGTAAACCTTATTCTGGCCAACAGTGTTAAGTACAATGGTGGGTATTTGTTTTTTTGACTTTTCATCAATCTATCCATCCAACATTAGTTAACATTATTAAAACTTAAGCACATAAAGCTACCTTGAGCAGTGATAACAGACTCAAATGACTAAGTCTTACTGTTTTTTTAAAGTAGGCATATACTGAACTGGAGGTAGAGGTGTGGCTCAAGCAGTAGAGCGCCTGCTTTGCAAGTGTGAAGCCCTGAGTTCAAATCTCAGTCCCTCCAAAAAAAATTAAAGTAGTCATATAATTTAGTGTGTGTTTTGTAAAGTTTAGCATTAATTTTTTTTTTTTTTGGTGGCACTGGGGTTTGAACTCAGGAACTCATACTTTCTATGTAGGCACTCTTACCACTTGAGCCACTCCACCAGCCCTTCTTTTGTGGTGGGGTTTTTTTTTTTCGAGATAGGGTCTCTTGAACTATTTGCCTCGGGCTGGCTTTGAACCACGATCCTCCTGATCTATGCCTCCTGAGTAGCTAGGATTATAGGGGTGAGCCACCTGCGCCTGGCTACCATTAAACTTTAAATGATGAAAAGTAATCTTTGCTTCTTTTGAAATCTTGTAAAGCAGAGAAAAATGAGGTGTAAATAAAAATCAAATGGATATTAATTTGGGCTTTGAGACATCACTGTGTTTCCAAAAGATGAGAACTTATGCCCCAGAACTAGATGGAGCTTAGCAAAATGTGTTCCTGTAGACCATGACAAACTTCTTTGGTGAGTGGAATTTTGCTTAGTACATGAATTGATTGAATAGAATATGCTAGGCTGTCTACTAGCTACTTAACTCTTTTAATAAGAAAGATGGTCATTGTCCTCAAGTAATTCACAGTTCAGTTGGTAGACAGTTAAAATGCTACTTGACAAGCACTATAATGGAAGGATATACAAAGTGTGCTAGAGGGATTGGGGACATGACTCAAGTGGTAGAGTGCCTGCCTAGCAAACACAAGGCACTGAGTTCTAAGTTCAGTACCTCCAAAAAAAAAAAAACCAAACAAAGCAACCCAAAAGTATACTAGACAAGAGTAGCATCTTAATCTGAGGGTTAGGGAAGCCTTCATAAGCAAACTAATAAAAATTCAGTTTTGAATGAGTTGTGTTAAACAAATACTGGTGATCTTAATATGCGCTAGCACTGATAGATGCTACAAATAAAATCAAATTAGATATAGTCCTTGATCCAAAGTGGCTATAATTCAATGAGAGAGACAGGAAAAAATATAGTATTTAGTGCTGGGTGCTGGTGGCTCACGCCTGTAATCCTAGCTACTCAGGAGGATCAAGGTTCAAAGCCAGCTTCCTGAGCAAATAGTTTGTGAGACCCTATCTAGAAAAAACCATTCATGAAAAGGACTGGTGGAGTGGCTCAAGGTATAGACTCTTGAGTTCAAACCCAAGTATGCAAAAAAAAAGTTATAGTACTTAAATGTTATGTTAGAAACTTCCACAGAGTGCTATGGGACAGTATATCTAAATCAGAGTGGGATTAGAGGAAACTTTTGGAAGAGGATTTTCTTAAGCTGACTTCTAAAGGACCAGTGATGTTTGGTATATAAAGAATATGGAAGATTTCAAACAAATTTTAGGTAAAAGAGCAATATGTAAAGACACAGAGGCATGAAATTGCTTGTTAGGTTTAAGTTTTTTGGTTGCATGAAAGTGTCATGTTGGTAAGTGACTAACCAGTTAGGTATTCAGAATGGTATACTTAAGAGTTTTACTTTATCCTAAGTGGGAACATATTGAAAGAATTAAGCAACTGGCAATATCATATGATTCATAAGCAAAAGAAGTGGCAGCTAAGGGCATTTGAGAGAATTTCCTAGCATACCAAGGTTTTGACTAACAGTCCACATGTTTAATTGACTTTCTCCTGTAACATTTAGCAGCCCAAGTAATGTGGCTTTAAGTTTGCCAGATAGAAGAGACAGAATTGGAGGGAGTAGGTGAAAGAAGGAACAACAAGAAAGAAATGAGGAAATAGCACATTCTGGGCAGAGAGCAGAGTGATCAATATCATGGAAGAATGAAAGAAGATGGCATATTCAGGAACTATTGACTAGAGCATGTAAAGGAATTGCAAGAACATATATATTTCATCTGAGGGAAATGATAGAAGATAAGACTGGATTGGGTTGAAAGAATGCACATGGTCTCTTGCTTTTATTTTTTATTACTCTTCAGAAACTACAGAGTAGAAATGCCTCTTCAGTTATCTCTCTTAAATGTTTCTTGAACATAATAAAAGCTAATCATCCTTAATTCTGGCAGTAGAAATGTTGGTGGACTCAAGGATATCTTGGAAAAAGACTGGTTGAGAAAGGCTACTTGGCCTGGTGAATGTTGACTTAAGACCCTAAGTGGGACCCACTAAGGAGGCACTTATGTGAAGTGATAGGAAAAATCCAGAAGATGCTAGTGAAAGAATAAGCACACCAGGCATTGTTCTACACAGCTGTAATGCCAGTACTTGGAAAGCTGAGGAGCTGAGGAAGATTGTGAGTTTGAGGCCAACCTGTGATACCTAGGGAGTTCCAGGTCAGCCTGGAACCTTTCTCAACCAGAGAGGCCTGAGACAAAACAAATCAAAAATTACATAGCTAATGAATATGAATAAATAATCCATTGCATTATTGATCAAAGAAATGCAAATTGAAACAAAAGAGATACCAGTTTTCTTACTGAATAAGCTCAGTTTTTAATGGGACTACTCAATGGTAGTGAGGCTGGTGATCTCATGTATTGCTATTGGCAGTACGAAATTACATAAAGCTCTGTGGTAGCACTGACAATTGACAAAAATAGTTAAGCCAATAGACTTTACAGTGATGTAAATGTGTATGAATAAAAGGCAGAGAATTCAAGATTGTCCCAAATGCATATTCTCTAAGAAAATAAATTAGTACAATCTTTTTTTTTTGTGGTACTGGGGTTTGAACTCAGGGCCTACGCCATGAGCCACTCCACGAGCCCTTTTTTGTGAAGGGTTTTTTCAAGATAGGGTCTCATGAACTATTTCCCTGGGTTGGCTTTGAACTGTGATCCTCCTCATCTCTGCTTCCCAAGTAGCTAGGATTACAGGCGTGAGCCACCAGTGCCTGGTTTCATACAAAATTTTTGAGGGCTATAAATGCTAATTCATAACCTAATGGTTAGTGTGAGGGGAATGACTATTTACAGTGCCATCTATATGATGAACTATTATGTAAAGGTTAAAAGCTCTTCTTAAAAGAGTAATAACCAAAAGTGCTCACATTGCTAAGTATGAAAAACAGAACACAGGTATTCACTTCATTCTCAGTCATGCTTTTAAAGAATGATGTATATGCTAGGCACCAGTGGCTCATGTCTGTAATCCTAGCTACTTGGAAGGCTAAGATAGGGCGGATCGAAGTTTGAGGTCAACCTAGGTGAATAGTTTGTGAGACCCAGTCTCCTAAATAATCAGAGCAAAACGAACTGGAGGAGCAGCTCAATAGTAGAGTGTCTGCTTTTCAGGCATGAAGCCTTGAGCTCAAACCCCAGTTCCACAAAAATCGAAAAAGATGTTTGTATACGTACATACACGTACATACATATATGAGAGAAAGATTGAAAGTTTGGGAGGAAGCATACCAAAATAATACTCATATTTCTAAGATCAGGGATTAGGGTTGTCTTTATTTCATCTTTTATATGTTTTCTCCTAATTTAAGAGGCAGGAAATCTAAGAGGAAATGACTTGAGCTGACTTTTGAAGGATGGTAATTATAATAACTAATTTCTGAGCACCTACTGTGTCAAGCACAGTAGAGTTTCCAGACAGAACACATGCAGAAGTGCACAAAAATACCTTGATAAGGAAGTGCAAATAGTTAAATTTGGCTTGAGTACAGAGTGGGGACCTAAGTTTGGTAATAAAATGGAATTTTTAAGGTAAGTAAGAGCCTAATCATGAAAGGCCTAGTATGTCACACTAAATCATTAGGAGAGCGGGACATAACAAGTGTTTTGGTAAGATCATTCTGGAAGCTATTGAATGAATGAAATGGAGGTGATTGAGATATGGAGACCAGAAAGAAACGGACAGCACTCAAGTTAAAAATTCTAAGGACCTGAGCTAAGGTAAATACCAGTAAGAATGGAAAAGTGGGGACAGATTTATAGAGATAACAAGGAGATAGAATTGATACCTTCATAACTGGACCCAGATACAAGGCTGTGGTAAAAAAGTAGAATATTAGCGTTGAAACTTTCGGAGGTAATGATAGCATTCTGGATTATAGACTAGAATATGTTTGACTGGACTGTAGGTGCAAACCTTTTGATATCAAGATTTTCAGGGAATTGGGTGCTAGTGGTGGTTCAAGCCTGTTATCCTAGCTATACTCGGGAGGCAGAAATCAGGAGGATAGCAGTTCAAGGCCAGCCCAGGCAAAATATTTTGGGAGACCCTATCTTGAAAATAGCCAACACAAAAAGGGGTGGTAGAGTGGCTCAAGTGGTAGAGCGCCTGTGTAACAAGCAGGAGGCCTGGAGTTCTAGCCAAAGTACCACCCCCCCAGAAATTGCAAGGATTTAAAAAAAATTTTTTTTTAGTTGGGGGGGAGGGTCTCACTGTGTTGCCTAGGCTGATCTACAACTCCTGGGTTTTTGTGATCTTCTGCCTCAGCCTGAGTATGTGGGACTACAAGTTGCACCACTACACCCAGCTTTTATTTTGACTTTCTATTCAAATCCTTCACATACCACGTTTCATATAAGCATATTTCTATAGCTTCTTACAGTGACTTCATTGTCTGTTAGTTATGTATTTAGCCCATGAACTATATCCTGTATAGCCAGAATGTTTAACACATTAGGCCAGAACTGAAAGGTAAGCAGCTCCTTACAAAACTGTAGCTGGAATTGTGCAGTATGTGTCAGTGTTGCACCCATGTGGTGGCAGTGGGATTGTACACTATAAAATTCAAGCCCTTATGGCTTCCACCTACCACATAGGTCAAGAGG